GGGAGTTGGAGTGCGGGAGTGTGTTGGGGGGAGAGTGGTGGCAGTTAGGGTGAGGATTGAGTTGAGGATTGGGGGAGTGTGTTGGGGGGAGAGTGGTGTCAGTTAGCGTGAGGATTGAGTTGAAGATTGGGGTGATGATTTTTTGGCTCTGCCCTCAGGGTAGCACTGACCTAAAGATTTTCCCATCTCTCTGCCCAGGAATGTTTGGTGGATATTGAAAGAGCACAAGGACACAATTATCCCCATGAGCTGCTACATAAAATCCTGGCACGTCGCACAGCCTGCTTACAGCATTTGGGACAAGCTGATGGAGCCTCTGATCTCAGGAGCGGAGAGAAGCTGGGTGTCACAGCCATGCCCAGGATCCAGACCAAGCCCACAGATGGAGGGGCTGCCTGCAGACAGACTAAAACCTCAAAAATTCTGTGCAATATATCTCCTTCCATCGCCGTGCGGTTCAACAGTTCCCAGGGCCGCCATTTCGTAGCGACTGAGGAGCTGAGGCCAGGACAGGTCCTGCTTCAGGAGGAGGCCTTTGCAGCTGTGCTGATCCCAGAGGGAGCCAGAAGGGAGCTATTCCCCAATGAGGATGTGTACTGTCACCACTGCCTTGAGCGGACTGAGTTCCCCGTGCCCTGCCTGACCTGTAGCTTCAGCAGTTACTGCAGTGAGCTGTGTCGAGAGTGTGCCTGGAACCAGTATCACTGGCTAGAATGCAGTCTTGGGGGTCTCCTCCTGGCACTGGGCACATTCAGCCAGCTCGCACTCCGCACTGTGCTGCTGGCAGGTATGCACGAGGTAGAGAGAGCAGAGAAATTGGAGAGTGGAGCTGGCCAAAGGCCGAGTGGTGAACACAGTGTGAGGGTGAACCCAGACCACAGAGTGGAACTGAGCAGTTGTTCTAGGACTTCAGGGGCTGGTGATGGGGTGCCCAGAGATTCTCAGAGCCGTTACCAGATGATCCACAGTCTGCTGACCCACACCAAATGGCAGACACCAGAGCACCGTTTCCTCTGTGGTCTCACCGCAGCAGCTGTGTGCCAGGAGATCAGACGATTGGGACTGGAGTCGCAGTTGGTCAGTGAGTGTCTGGAGCTGGATACAGTTAGTGAGCAAGACCAGGGACTGAGGATACTAGGAGTGGCACTGCTCCGACACCACCTCCAGCTGGAATGTAATGCTCAGGCTATCACTGTATTCAGAGATACAGGTATGTACCAGGGTACAGGATGGCCTGGGAACCTGCCCTCCAATGACACCATGAATGGGACTTGTAATAGAGCGTACTGCTTAGCCAGTGTGGGAGCAAGCTGCACAGATCGGGAGATTCCCGGCTCTGGCTGTACTCTGTGCATTGAATCAGAGAATGGTTACAGTGTAGGAGCAGTTTGTTCAGCCTACTGTATCCATGCTGGCTGTCTGAAGAAGCAATGTACCTACTGCCCTATCCCCTCAACCTTTGCCCCCAATTCCGGCAGATTATTCAATTCTCGTTTGAAAGTCTCAATTGAACCTGGCTCCAGCATACATTCAGGCAGCACATTCCAGATCCTAACCACTCACTGCATAAACGGTTTATTTTAACGTGTACCCTTTAGTTGTTTTGCAAGTGAGATTCAATGTGTGCTGTCTGATTCCTGATCCTTGTGCCAAAGGGAAAACCTTTTTCTATATCTCTCCACTCAGAGCGTGGTTCAGGTAATAGTGACACTCAGCACCCTGAAATGGAGAGGTGCAAAAACTGGCACAAGATCCCTTGCTGATGCCAGGTGTGTTACATGGTCCGGTGAGCAGTGCCAGATCCAACAATCTTCATTCCCTGCCGTTTTCCTGCATTGCATAGATCCATGCATAGCAATGGCTTCCAGAGTCAGTGGTCAATCTGCCCGGATGTCAGTCAGCGTGCACAGACTCTCTGCTTGGTTGTGTAGCCATGCAGCTTAAAGGAAACATTACCCAGGATCCTGTGCATCTGGTTGTGCCTGGTACTTCCTCCAGTTTTCCTTTGACTTTGTGACAGCTTTCTGCTGAAGATACCCAGCTTAAAGCACTTGTTCTGTTGCAGGAGTTGGACATTCCCATGTGGCAGAGATGGAAGAGGTCAGGATTGCAACTGCCTTTTACTCTACAGTCAGTCTGCTGAACCACTCCTGTGAACCCAACACCAGTATCACATTCCAAAACACCACCATCACTGTGAGAGCATCCCAGCACATCCCAGCAGGCCAGGAAGTGCTGCACTGCTATGGTAACTCTAATAGTCAGCTCTACCCCTCCATACCTCCCTCCCTCTGCCTTCTCCCTGCCCTCTTTCTCTTTTCTACTCTCAAAACAACACAGATAGGTGGGAAAGTCAGGTCTGAGTGGGCTCAAGGCAATTATAGAGTTTAGTGAGTGTACAAAGATGTGGCAAATAGAGTATAATATGGGAAGATGTGAAATTGTTGATTTTGGCAGAATGAAGAATAAGCATTGTCTAAATGATGTGAGGTTACAGCTCAAAGCAGAGCAATTTGAGTGCCCTTGTATATCAATATCAAAAGGTTAGTCATAGTAAGTAATTGGGAAAGGTAATAGAATATTATCATTTTACTAGGGAGGTTGTCCTTCAATTATACAGAGCACTGCTGGGAACACATCTGGAGTACTGTGTAGAGTAGTAGTCACCGCATTTCAACAAGAATGTACATGTATTGTAAACAGTTCAGAGATGGTTTCCTAGATTAATACCTGGAATGAGCATGTCTTATGAGGAAAAGTTGGACAGCCTAGGCTTGTATCCACTGGAGTTCAGAGAAGTAAGAGGTGATTTGATTGAAGTTTAGATTACTGAAGGGTATTGGCAGAGAGGGTGTTCCCTTTTTTTCATTCATTCACAGGATGAGTGTCCCTGCCTGGGCCAGCATTTATTGGGCAGTTGACAGTCAACCACGTTGCTGTGGGTCTGAAGTCGTACATAGGCCAGACCAGGTAAGGATGGCAGATTTCCTTCCCTAAAGGACTTCAGTGATCCAGATGGGTTTTTCTGACACTCGACAATGGATTCATGATCACTATTAGATTCTTAATTCAAGATTTTTATTTATTCAAGTTCCACCATCTGCCGTGACAGGTTTTGAATCTGTGTCCCAAGAGCATTACCTGGGTCTCTGGATTAACAGACCAGTGAAAATACCACTAAGCCATTGCCTTCCCCTTATGAGAGAATCTAGAACAAGGGATCATTGTTAAAAATCAGGAGTCAACCAATGGAACAGAAATGAGGTGAAACTTTTTCTCAGGGGGTCATGGGTCTTTGGAACCCTCTGCCTGAAAAGGTGATGCATGCAGGTTCTGTGAATATTTTTAAGGCAGACAGAGGTGGACAGGTTCTGAGGAAAACTTGAAACAGGTTGAAAACGTTAACTGTTTCTCTTCACATTTACTACCAGACCTGCTGAGTTTCTCCAGCATTCTCTGTATTTGATTCAGATTTCTAGCATCCAGGTTTTGCTTTTATTCAAGTGGATGGGATCTTGTTAAATGGCAGGGTGAAAGGTTATCAGCAGTTGATAGGAACGTGGATTTGAGATTACAGTGAGAACAGCCTTGATTTTATCGAATGAAAGGGCAGGTCTAAGAGGTCAAGTTGTCTTCTCCTTCAAATTCTCACATTCTTTCCCCAATCTTTCTGTCTCCCCTCCAATATCTCTGTCCCTTCACTCTCTATTGTCCCTTCTGTCATGTTTCTGCTTCCCCAGCGGTGCTAATGAACTGTCTCTCTGCTGATTCCAGGCCCACACTTGAGCCGGATGGCAGTGAGAGAACGACAGCGGGCCCTGAGATTGCAGTATTTCTTTCACTGTCAGTGCACTGCCTGTGTTCGTGAGGAGGGCAGTGTTGGAATGGACTCTGTGCTTGGCCAATTCCTCTGCTCTCACTGTGGGATGGAGTTACAGGTGAGGAGAAGACAAATAGTCGGGGTGGCACTGGATTAGTTGTTTTCGCTTCACTGACCATCTCTCCTGCTGCACTACACACGGCTTCCTGTAGTAAATTCCACCATGGGGCATCGTTCCTGTCTGAGCAATACCGATCGGGCACCGGGGCTCAGTGACCAATAACTGGTCACAGATGGAATTTAAGCCAGTGACAATGGAAATTGGTGAGGCATGTTTAATGTGGATTCTCTGATTGTGCTGGGTTTTACCGCTTCTCTTTCTGCTCTCAGATGAAGCCCTTAGATTGCTGTCTGAATGTCAGCAGCTGGCTCACACCCTCCTGTCTGACCAACACCCATTGCA